GTAGCAAATACTGTCTCCACGATAAAATTTCTCAACCCAACCAGAGGTAAATCCAACACCCTGGTTCGAATGCAAACCGAACACAGGATGACCTCGCCATTTTTTATGGCTACAATACACGGGTTAAGCTCGTTAGGCATGATGGCCTTCTGCTGCAGGGGAAACACCTTGACGTAGCGAGAAAATTCATCCACAATGACCAGAAAGTAGCACTCCCCGCATGGCCCAGCAAATTGGGCAGGGCCTAAGAGGTCCATGTGCAAGGTCAGAAGAGGGGCAGTGGCGTAAGACATCGTGGAACATTGAGGGGCGGCTCGTTGCTGGCCCTCAACGCAAGGAGTGCAAGGCACAGACGAGGAGGATGCGTGGCAAGTGACTGTGGGATACCTGTGATAAGGACGCTGTAAAAGTGCAAATATCGTAGGATCGTCTGCACATATCGATCTCCGCAATCGATTGGGCAGATCGATTGGCGAAACATGGCGATCGCGACATTGTAATGATCGCTACTGAGATTTGACACCTGTGATCAGTGATCGGTCGCATTCACACACTGTACAAACGAAATGGCCAAAAAGCGTACTGTAGCATGGTTACAGCGTAGTAGATATGGTAACCAATCCGCACATCGATCGCGACTGATGATTGATCGCCTAATTTTACCGCGTCCTAAGGCGATGGGAGTGAATTACGCAGACGCGGAAAGGATGGGTGACCGAAGCGATGGTGCTAGAAAAGCGACGGGTACGTAAGAGACCTACACGATCAAGGCGCAGCTACCTGACCAGACGCAGACACCGCGGCATACTCAATGCGCAGTAAGAAAAGACCGGACTCAGTATCTTGAGGGAACATGGCAAGAGGATCCCCAATGGCAGCATCCGTACAGGTCACAAACCGCTCGTGCCCAGGAAACATGGTGGTGACAACCTAGTCCTGAAGGTGACCAACACCTACAAGTTCTTGGAGAACGAGGCGATATGGAGACTAGTAAGGGAGCTGGAGGGGATTGCCGAAAACGTGAGCATAGTATCACTGCGCGCAACGAACAGTTCCAAAGAGGTGTCGGCCAGTGTAATATCGACGGAAGCTTGTAGGGGCACAACAGTGGTGAAGTCATAGAAGAAGCACAAGGAGGAGCCAGAGTCGATCATGAAGGAGAGCGATGCGTCTCTCGAGGTCACACTTGTGCTATCACAACAAAATATCCTACACATGCATCAGCTAGAAATCCTAAGCTAGATACACAAGAATAACAAGGTTTAACAGCATCTACGCCTCTAGGATTATTAGTCAATGTGAGTGATCCAAGGGCCGAAGTGCAGCAGGTAGAGATTGTCGAGGTGGTGGAAGCAGCGTGCCGACAAGTGATCCATGCACCTGCAGAGGGAGCCAGCATCACAGCCAAGATGAAGACGGTACTGGCACGGCCCGACGCCACAAAGACCCGACGCCGAACTGCCAGGACCGCCGTCATCATTAGCAGTCCCCAGGCCACCAGGTGTGAGAGTATAACGTTTGTTCTTACCCGTACTTCCTTATTCGTATTTTCTATTTTAGAAACTGTGATTATTTCATGTTTGTTGTTTTTACTACAATAGTTGTACCTAGATGATCATAATATACTTTTAAGCTAGAGTCTTGATCCTGGCACCAGGGCTCTATTGGTGGTGGTGTTGCTGCCACTGCATCCACTGCTGCTGTGGTTGTTGCTGATGCTGCACCGTACCCTTAGTAGCGGTACATCCTCCAGCTGCACCACTCGCCCCAGCACCTCCTCCAACATCAGTACCCCCACCGCCCCCACGCTGAGGGCCATGACTACCCCTGTGCCTACCGTGCCCGCCCAAGGTAGCTGCAGCAGCTGTGAACTCAATAGTAGCGGGCTCCGCAATAGAAGCAGAGGCATCAGAGGAAGGGAGATGGGAGGAGCACACCCCTCAAAGATGGGGGGTTCCTGATCCCAGTGGTCATGGCGATGGTGCGGAGGAGATTCTTGAGCTTCATGAGACTGGTTTAACAAAAATCTAGAATGAGCTCAGTAGGTGCAAAGCGAGGAGGGCGTCATGTGCAGTAGCGAGTTGTGAGGAGGTGAAGGGTAAGGTAGATAGGGGAAGGGAACTTCACACGCTGCTCACTAGCACAAGTGTCAGGGAAGCAAGCATGGGTCATGAGGTCTGCAACATTGTGAAATGAGGGCAGGTTAGGAAAGAGAAACGACATAATCAAATGACCTAGGGTAGCAGACAAGGGAGTGGAATAGTGAGCAATGATCGCGTCTAAGAAGTTCTTGGCCATCTCAATGCTGCGGAAGTGCATGCGATAAGAGTGTGGGAGACGGGTGCTAAGGGCAAGTTGAGTAGCTGCATCGCGAGAAACTTAGACCGAGTGCTTGGCAAAGCTGTTGCATGGGCCTCCTTCCTTGTGTCAGTGGGGGCATTACCAAGAGCAGGAGGGTACTCAGGGGCAGGTAGCACACCAGACACGTGGGTGTACAGATACACGTCATCCTGGCACTGGCTATGCAAGTACAACTTGATATCATCCGGCCACACGTCCGCATCGAAGCGCAGCATGAGCTCGAGAGCAGGAGTGGAAGCCATACGGAACAGTACAAATGTGGCTACAGCATGGGCAAGAGTGGCTGCAGCAAGGGGCGGCGGCGGTGGCTCTAGCGGCGGTTGCGGCAGGGGCGGCGACGACGGCTCAGGTGGCGGCTGCAACAGAGGCGACAACGGTGACTCGGGCGGCCGTTGTCAAAGGGCAGCACAGCGCCCGATGCGACGGGGCAGCGTGGCGCTCGACGCGCTGGGGCAGCGGAGCGCCGAACACGAGGGGGTGACAGGGCCCGCTGGTCGACGGGGTGATGGGGCGCGCTTGGGGACCGGTTGACGGGGCGCGCTGGTTTACGATGGACAGGACGGTGAGGCTCGCTGGAGCACAGGGTGGCCTAGGGTGCTAGGCAGCGAATGGGGAGCGAACAGGTTGCGAACGGGCAATAGACGGGTGGTTTACGGGCAAAACCCTAAAAACGAGCGGCCAATGGGCCGCGAGGGCAAACCCCTAGAAACGAGGGGCCAACAGGCGGTAAACGGGCGCTACGGGAGAGCAACTGGCGGCTAATGGGCGAAACCCGAAAACAAAGGCGGTGGACTAAGCGGAAATAGCCTAGCTGATACCATGTCACAAGATGACTAGTCGTTACAATGGCATACAAGATTGTATCAACCAAACATGTACCCTCTATAGTATGCCCCAATATTTGCAACCTAGCCATCAAAAGATTTAACAAATATCATTTGACATGATACCCACCTCAAACAGGCATGGGCTATTGCGCAGGGGTGTGCAGAACATTAAGCTTGATATGACTCGTGTGAGCCTAGGCTAGGATCTTTAAATGCCTTTGCTGTAGGACCCTCTGTTGTTGCCTCCCTAGGTGCAACCACTGCTGGTGCGTCCCTCTCCTTCATGTTTGAATTGTGTTTCAGTGCTTCTTTCGTGACTGCACCATCCTTGCGCCGCTTCCAGCTCTTGACGTTGTCTCTGTGACCGACCCCTCCTCTCGAAGGTTCGTGGTCCCACTCATGTGGACAGTTGCTGAAGCGACAGAGTCATCTCGTTTCAAAATGGCAACGAAACTGGGGTAGGGGAGTCTGTTTACTAGTTTTGCGCATCAGGAAATCTAGAGCAGTCGGACGCAAAGCATCACAACTTGCGACGACTTTTCCACTGATGGCATTACCATACCGTCATACCCCGGATATAAGCGCCACCCGCGGATAAGCGCCTGGCGCTTTTAATTGGCGTGTGGCGCTTATATCCGGCGCTTGATTATAAGCGCACCCCCTGAAGGCTTACGTATTATAAGAGCCACCATTTGTATTAGTTTTTATAAAGTTACTGGAATCTCTGTAGCAAAACACACTATTTGCATCCTCACTTGGTGAAATTTCGACCCTTCACCCTCGCGCGACTCATTGCCCCACCCTCGCGCGACTCAACTGACTGCGCGTCCAGTCAGAATGAGCTGTCATGGGGCGAAATGACTCATTCTGACTGTGTGTGTTGGCAGTTTGCAAACTTACGCGAGATTCTTCTTCACACCCACTATGATCTTGACTCGTTTGAAATCACAATGACAAGATGAACATTTTGAAGTGAAAACAACTAGATTTCATATATGTCATTGTATAAGCCCCGGCGCTTATAAATTTACTCGATTATAAGCCCACCCCCAAAAAAAAACATGTTTTATTATTGCCCCCCATGGGGGCTTATCCGGGGTATGACGGTAGCTAGAAGGGCCTGGTTCTGATGCCATGGCGGAATGTTTTGCAAGCTGGAGTCATGAACACGGAAGAGCTGGGCTACCGTAACTCTAAATTGAATGAATAAAAACAGGCAATGCGTTTCGGCTCCAAGAAGCTGATGAAGTAGAAAGGGTATCACGAAACTCTCGCGTCACCAACTCGCTAATGGCTGATGGGGGGTGCGCATGGAAGAACTTTCTCGAAAGGTGGGAGCGGCGCGGACAGCACTATTATTTGTACTGGCAACCATATTACAACCATTGCTTGGACTCAGGTGGGAAACTGATTGCTGTGATTGTTGTTTGATTCCCCTGATGACGTACGTATAAGCCTCTAATCTGATTTTTCAGATGAAAAACATTGGAATATCCTGAATGTCATATGAGCCTAAGACTGTATAGCACGCCAATTTATCAGCTTCGAACAAAAGTACCTTTGAGTACATGTGTAACATGTGCGGATGCAAGGCGTGATTCTATCACCCCACAGAGAGAACATCTCCTCACTAATTTCATCAGGCTGGAGAAGCAAAATGACTATGGCCAATTGAAGCTAATGGACAGGGTATGGTGCAAGGCCACACACCTGTGGTGAAGTCCCGTCCCAGCCCAAAATGGCATGCCTCCAGAGCCCAGGGCTATGAAGTGGAAGAGACTTATATGTAGTGGGCTCGCAATGCAATCGCTATCAACTGGAGGAAAACAATGTACCTGTTGTGAAGTTCCAGGAAACAATGGTGTGCCTCTGGGGCTGGTTGCCTGAGAGGGCAACAAAGCCGAAGAGGAAGAGGGAGTCGGATGCAGTGGGCTTGAGAGCAGAGCAGAGAGACACGCTTGCTGTGAGGAAAGGACCGAAGGGCTGCTGGGGGTTGGGGGAGAGGTAGACTCGGAGGGTGCCGCCGCTGGTGGGGTCGTAGTGGATCCAGGCGTGCTTGGTGTGGGCGTCGTTGAGGATGAGAGGGGCCGTGGCAGAGGCGAGGGACACAGGTGAGCCGCCCACATTGACGCCCATGTGGTTGTCGTTGGGGTCGCTGTGCTTCACACTCAGCACCGAGTCAAACTCCACCGCCACACTCCGCTTCCCCATCCCTCCCAGCCCCACACTAGCCCCCTTGCCAGGAGCAGCTGCTGCCACCACAAACGCAAGCCCCTCCCCACCTGCCCCCTGGCCCGGTGGACGCATGGCAAAGCTGAAGGCAGCGGTGAATGCGAGCTCAATCCCGCAGAGGGAGCGCTTGTTGGGGAAGTAGAAGAGGCGCAGCGCGGGAGAGGCAAACGCTGCTCCCTGCTGGTTGGGCGCTCCTCCTGTGAGAAGAATGGAGCCGTTGGAAAGCACAGCGGCTGCGCCCTGCAGCGACACATAGGCCGAGCCTGATGCCAAAGACCCCCCAACAGCTGCAGGTGCACGGGAAGAGACACACAAACACGAAAGGTATTTTGATTGAAAAGATGAACTGGTGGGCATACAGGATATTTACCAGCCAATGCGATGCTCTAACTGCTGCGCGTGCAAGACGCTTTGAACAGAGTGAATGCTTTTCTTATGCAGAGAAGTTGTTCACTAGACATTGTAGTGAGTAAACACACACCTCCGGGGACACAGGCATTGATGTTGGTGCTGTTGAGCATGTAGTTGAGGTCGCACACACACTCCCCTGCTGCAGTGAACTCATTCACATAGCAGTAGCCATGCCCCCCGCACACAGCAGCAGTGGAACCAGCTTCCAGCCCACAAAAAGCGGCACACATTGGAGCGGGCCTCTGGGTGGAAGCACGGCCGCAGGCGCTCATATTGGCAGCAAGGCAGTTTGCATCGATGGTCCATGTGACAGCCGAGTAGTTCCTAAACTTCACCTCCCCATGGGTGAAGAAATTGTTGTTCACGTTGTAGGTCTCGGTGGTCGAAAAGCCGGGGCTGGGTAGACGACCACTGAACTGGTTGGAGGACAAGTACCTAGCGGAGTGGAATGAATGGAAAGGAGAAGGTAAACTGGAAAGGGAGGAATTGGTGATACCTACAGTTTGGTGATGAGCACAGGATGATGATACTCACAGCATCTTGAGGTTCTTCATGGTTCGTGTGATAGGGTCAATCGGGCCTGAAAGCTGGTTATATGTCAGCAGACTGAGCGGCACATGTGTAGTGCACACACAAGCATGTGGGAGGCAAACACACTCTCTCCCCCTCTCTCAAACACCAGACGCACACGCACATGCACATGCACAAGCGTGCGCGCGCACGCACACATGCACGCATGCACGCACGCACACGCGCGTGCGCGCACGCACGCACGCACGCACGAACGCACGCACGCACGCACACACACACACACACACACACACACACACACACACACACACACACACACACCCACTCACAAAGAGAGGCACACATCCACGCACGCACGCACGTACGCACACACCGAAGACGGAGGCAGGTCAGACACAGCTTCACGAGCATAATGCCTTCTTGGAAGGCATGTGCCACAAACCTAACTGTGGTTTGGTTCGAGGCAAAATGGTTCTCTGCAAGCCAAAGCCTTGTGTTTTATTTTCCAGGAACTGGTTAGCATTCAACTCGAACCTGGTCGACTACGATACATCCCAAGCTGCATCGAATTGAACCGCTTCTATTCGACTCTGTTGTGGAAAATCGCGCAACGTGGATAGCACAGATGTTAGTTTGAATGTTTGGAGCTCACTTCTGAGCTCCCCCACCCAACCCAACCACTCCCAACCCCTTCCACCAACCCCATTTTAGAGCACTCTCATAATATTTTCAGAGAAACCAGTAAGGTCTAACCACCAACATGGATGATCGCAATCAGGAAGGGATCTTGATTGTTTACAAGTACTGAAGCTTGGATATGTTAGATAGGGTAGTTGGAACAGTTCCATACAGCTGAATTCCAGCGAGCTCCCTGCAAAATCACATGCGCAGGAGAGTACCTAATGACCATTTAGAGTTCATTGGTAGCAAAGGCATACGTTTGGCAAAAATTCACGATTCATGAGTACACATCCCAGGGAAATGTGGAATGGCAGGTGACTGGCATCACGTGCAACATACAGAGGCATCTGTACTGCGTCCCCGAGAGTGAAAACTGCACCAGCCAAGAGAAAAACGCTATGGACGCACAAGACAATCAGGTTGGTGAGCTTTCCAATGGCTGTTGGTATGGACCCAGACATTGCGTTGTATGACAGGGACCTGCACACGTGCAACATGGGAAGAATGATCCCTTGCTACAGGAAGAATGGGAGATACTAGAGCAGAGATACCAGGAGAATGGGAGTTACCAAAGCACAGAGTTGTGTTGCTGCTTTTTAAGAAGGCCGACCCGGATCAAATGCACACGCCTAGTTTCATTGGCCCCCATCCTTGCAGTGAATCAGGTCCACTGGAGCACCACACACACCCTGATTTTGTCAAGATTAAGTGTGGCACTGCCACTCTTGAGGTGAGCTTATGTCAAGGAGATGGAGACAGGGAGGACACTCGAGCAGTATGAAAACAGAACTGGCACAGTGTATGCATCGAAAACTGGCACATGCAGTAGTCATCCTTTACAGGTATTCCAGATGTAGGAGATCGTCCAGTGCAGCAGGTATGCTTCCCGACAGCTGATTTTTGAAGAGCATTCTGAGAACAGAGACCATGGAGAAACGAGGGCCATGGGAAAAATCAGGGAAACAAAATTATGCACAGAGTAGTGTGGAGAAGCGGGGCATCATAGCAAGCACAATTCGCAGGGTGAAGGCGACAAGGGAATTAGACACAAGTCGAAATTGACCTGACAAACCCCATTTACGAGGTACGATGTAATTTGATCGAGTAGCTTGAATCAGAGAAACAAGTACTCGACGACTCGCCCCAGATCGGTTTTTTTTTGTTTTTGTTTTTTTCCCTACTCGGGTTCGATAAATACTCGTGACAATTCACCCCTGTTCTGGCAAACGGAACCAAATGTACAAAACAATAACTTGGCTGTTCATTTCTTCGTTGTTCCTTTAGCTCCTGCCTATCATCGTTCACAGTCCTTTTCTGCTGCTTACTGAAATTCTGCTACTTAATGAAATGGGAAATCCTAATGTGGACAGCAGACATGCTTGAGGTGTGGAAAACAGGTGGTGGAAGGGGCGTGACGCTGGGAATTCGCCACAAGGCGGCGAGCTTTGCTACCAGGGGGAGCATTTTCCAGCGTAGAGCAGTATGAGGCAGGCCATTGGCGAATGTTACTCAATCTGCCTCGTGTCTTGTATAAGGCAAGTAAGAAGTGGGTCAACTGGTAGTTTTGTCATGCCCACTTACATTCCTCTGAGCTGTTGCAGCGATGCCAGCGATTTTGGAATGGAACCGCTCAGAAGGTTGTCCGTCAGCAGACTAGGGAGGGAGGGACGGGTTACAAGCAACCAAGACACAGCCCTTCTTTGACCCAAGAGCAATTTAAAGTGACGGGTCACACAGTGGCTGAAAAGTCAATCTTTCAAGTCCAACTGTGAGAGAAAACAGCAAATAACAAGGTGCCGAGAATTTGAGGGATTGACGTTTTGTGAGGGAGAGAAACCAAGGAAGAGATGTGACAAGCAGAATAGCCAAAGCCCTTTAGGGTTGCTATCACAGGACACCACCGGTGGCCCCGTGGTGGTGTGATTACACGTCATGAATCGCGTCATCCATGGATCTTTTTTTCACAAGCATGATGGCAGTTCACAGCCTTCTGGGAGTGAAAGGGTCTCACAGGTCTGTCAGAGTAGTGAGGACTGAAAGTGAGTCAGGAATTGATCCATTCAGCTGGTTCGCCGCGAGGTTGCTGGATCAGTACAGCATGAATCCATGGAAATTGGGGTGAGAGAGGGAGAAAGAAGAGGAGCATGCACAATAGCACAGACATAGAAATGATTAATACCTTTGACAGGGTGTAATTTACGCAACAGCATGAATGACACAGATTAGGTAAATCAGAGGGATGATAAGAACTGAGAGCACTAGAAGCCAGAAATGAAGAGAGAAAGACATGTCACAAGACCCGTGCCACATCAGCCGCAAGAGTGAAGTGAATTTGGGTCTATCGATGCCGTGGACATGAGTGTGGGTTTCATGCTCGTCTGTGACCCAAGAGCAATTTAAAGACGCAACATTGGCAGTGAACAACATAACGTGCAACAGGGCATGCTACAGCCACCACTCGCACAGGTATGTGAGGCTGTGCAGTAGACTAAGAGAATCGGGGATTGTTCCACTCAGTTGATTGTAACCTAGAGCCCTGCATGTCACACGGTCACACCAGGCAGTGCAATGCAGGGAGAGACACAGGGCAGGAAGCATATCCCATCCACATTCACAGTGGACGGCTGAGGGGGCTGGATAAGCGGGACGGGGGCGCACAGGGCCAATCACCATTGGCCTTGCCTTTGTATGTTGCACGGTTCCTTTAGGCGCTCTGAAAAGCTGTGGGGCACATGGCACTAGAGGGAAGCCAGCCAGGGGCAGTTGACACCGGTCTTCCAACCAACGCCTGGCTGATGTGCATTGTGGTGCAATGCCTCCCTGCGACTTGCACACAGTTGTCTGGAGCTGGGCCGTGCAAAAAGGACCTTGTTGCACAAGTGCTGCAGATAAAGCATTCATACATCTGCTGAAGTAATGACAGGTAACCCAACGACGAAGGGATGCTTTCAGAGAGCATGTTGTTCAGACAATTCCTGTTGATTCACCACGACACAAAAAGAGAGGAGTCTGGGGACAGCGTGCTTAACAATGATTACACGAACGACGCATACTGGCAAGCCATGGCTATGGCTGAATCCATATGCCCAGTTCGCACCTTGACATGCCTTCCACTCTGCCTTCTGAGCATACATGTGTACTGAATTGTGCGCAGCCTTCTGTATTTATTAGTGTCAGCATATACCCCAGTTTCATGTGGTTTGAAAGGCATGTTATAAGCATTTTCTCGGCAATCAAGCTTGCCTCCCCAGCGAACTTAAAAAACATCTAGCCTACCCATGGGCTTCAACTTAGTTCCTGGCCAGCATTGAGCATATACATGGGGTATGAATGATGATGAAGCGACATATAACTTGTGGTCTAGGGTTCAGGGTTTATGGTTTTCAGTTTCAGTAAGCTTTTTACTATTCTGTGTGGCTTCAGTTGTAGCCAGTCCCATGCATTGCATTGTCAATGTCTCTCACCTTTGTGAATAAAGCACTGTTTGCTAAAACAGAGTGTAGACAGCCTTGCTACACTTTCTGTGGAAGAAAACGACAGTGGGAGGAGGGAGAGCAGCAGGCAGGAGCAGGAGCCTCACAAGGTGGTGAGGTTGGTGGAACCACCAAGGTCGGGAAGAGAACCGCTGAATAGATTCTGACGAAGATTCCTGAGGAAAATATAGGGGAAAATGAGGCGCGTGTTGAAGGGGAAGAGAGGATAAGAGATGGGTAGAGAGCAGCTGAAGTGTGTTCCACAAAGCAGAGTTATTGGAACAGCTCTGCCTGAACGCTCAGTCAGCGTCATATTCTCCAGCATCTGAACTTCCGTGCATTTTTTTGCGCTCAAACAGCAGACATTTTTTTGGGGGTTTTCGAGAACCACGACGGTCCACACCCCCAACTGTCGCTATCCACAACGAGTGGAGACCTCCTTATGAGACTGAAATGAATGATCCTTGAAGTGAATGCGTAGCACAAATGTTCCAAGGTGGGGATGATTCCAAACCAGTTTAGAAGTGTGTTCGACTTACAGATGCGTCAGGCGCACAAGGCTGGATAGCAGGTCTATGGGCCCTGACATCTGATTCACACCAAGCACGCTAGTAGGAGGAGGTGGACGAGTTGTAGAGGAAGAATAGTGAGAAAATCAGCATCAGATAGAAGAGGACAAGGAAGGTGTGATACATGTGGTCACCCTCTCAACTGGGAGTGAAGTTGGTAGGGCTTGCATGCAGGCGTGCATGTATGCAATGCAATGCAAAGCAGTGCCGCATAGAGGCACATATTCAGATACAATCATTGTAACAATGCACGCTTGCCAAGTAATTCAACGAGATAGATGCAGGTGATTCGGCATGGCAATCAAGTGGGGGAGCGGAAGACCAAGGATCAACAAGTGTGTGCAAAGGATAGCATGAGAAGTGAATCACACTACATGAGAAGAGAAGACAACACTGAATAGACATGGATTCACTATGTGGGCTTGCGGTTTACGTTAGGTGATCGTTCATAGCAACGTGCAAGCACATGTGAAATACATAGTTACTCTATGGTCAATCGTCCAGGTCCTTGCACTTGCATGCGTGAAAATAAATCTCATCAACTCACAGATATTCCAAGCTGACCAAACGACTGAAGCTTTCTGGAAGACTGCCCGAAACAGAGTTGCCACCAAGGTTTCTGTGAAATGAGGCGAGCAGAAGAGAAAAGAGGGGCACTGATACAATGCGACAACTTTACCAAGAGATAGCAACACATTGAGTTAAAAGGATAAGTTGGGTTGAAAAAAGCAGTGCATTTGAGTTGAAATGTCACTGGGGATGGGTCCTTCTGTGAGGTGGTAGTGGCGATGGACATAGGTGAGCCAAGGTGTAGATGCCATTCGAAGTTCTTTCGCGGTGGTGGAGCATGAGGCGTACAGAGTCACAAGAGATGTCAAGTCGCAGAGGGTGTTGGGGATGGGTCCTGCGAGTTGGGAAAAGAGAAGCGTGCTGCAAAAAGGGAGCACAGGGAGTATAGTAAATAGACCCACTCGAGGGAGGGAGCAGCGGGTGGTCACTCCGCCTGATAGCTTCCCATCACAATGTGATTGATATCATGCCCAATGCATCAAATAATCCCTGTAGGGCGGCTGGCATGTCATGCCAAGCATCTGCTTGCGACAAAGCCTCTCATGGCTTATCCACGACAGGTGCTCGTCGGGATTTTTATACTTGAGTCTGCCTGGGCTAGAATATAGAGGCACAGGGGTGTGTGGAGCTCACAGGTATCTGAGACGTTGAAAGCGGCTGATCATGTCAGGTATAGGTGCTTGAAGATTCTTCATACCCAGCTCTCTGTTCAGCCAATGAGGAATTAGGTTGGGTGCAGCACAAGGCTCTCATATTATTGATAAAACTCTTGTAGAAATTGGTGTGTGAGTAGAGAAAGACTAGATCAGCCAGCATGTTGAGTGAGTCAGTCAAACGAAGCAGCATTGCATCAAAAGAGATTTAACGGGGATCAAGCACTGCAGACAAAGAGCTTATTGGGACCTATGGCATGAGATGAGACGAGAAGCCAATGGGTGCATTGGAAATTTGCTCACATGGCAATGACGAATCCATCCCTGTCACATCTGATGCCCTCCATTGCCCTGCAGTCCGCATACTGCCACAACCATGTGTCGCTGCCACTGAAGTCGCCCCACTCGCTGGCGAGCCATGCCAGGTTGAAGGCTGGGCGGATGTAACACCGCACGCACGCACACACACCCCCACCAACACACGCACACGCACGCACGTGCGCATGCATGCAAGGTACCCGTGTCCAATCGTTCTCGCTTCACTCACAGGTCCGTGAACTCACAAATGACATCCACCCGCGTACCTACACGCATGCACACGAACAAACACACACACACACACACACACACACACACACACACACACACACACACACGCACGCGCGCACACACGCACGCACACGCACACATGGAGGCGCACATGCACACACACACGCATGCATACGCGCGCGCGCACACACACACACACACAACACACACACACACACACACACACACACACACACACACACACACACGCACGCACGCACGCACACGCATCCACGCGCACGCACACAGATAATGCCATGAGGTTCACAAATGGGATGGGATACATGTGTGCGCACATGAGGTCTGGTGTGCATCTACCAGACTGAAAGAAATGCTGACATGCGCATTCCATTCCTGCGCTGCAATGTGTGGCTGCCACAAAGAAGCGGTTCAGAGCCTAGCCCACCATCATTTGGGTGAAGCCGCACAGCAACTGCACCCCTGGGCAAGGGGGGCACAAGGCACGCCAAGCTTCCCATGAGAAACAGCAGCAGATGCAGCTCTAGCCCTCGGTGCGAATCCTGCTATAAACACGCACGGCAACCACAACCACAACAGCCATGGTCAGAGATATGTTGATCTGCTGCGGACACAGATGGAGCAACGTAGCAATCTAGACATGAGCATGGGCAAGGCAGTGCAGCAGGGACCGACAGCGCCGGCCAGGGTCCAGTCAGGTTTGTCAGAAATTCGGCCAGAGGCCTAACCAATATGGTTGCTGTCGGCACAAGTCCGGCTGGATGCAGCACCGAGAGAGGGAGGGGGGGAGAGAGGGAGGAGGGGGGGTTGGGGGGGTGCACTGCACTGCGTGATGGGGCTTCGGTGCATTTTGCTGTGCTATCCAAGGCAATCACAGGCTGTCACACGCTGCAAGCTTGCAACGCCTCTGTGGTCCCCCACACAACCTCCCCCCCCCCCCCCCTCCTCCCCTCCTCCCCCACCTCCTCCCCACACACACCAACGCACATTGGCACACGTACTACTAGCACAACCCCCTTAACACGTGTTTTTTCCCTGCTCACAAGCAAGACGTTTGAGTGCCTTGCATGCGTTCTGCTTGTCGTCATGCGTGGCTTTAGTGTGCTAGAAACAAAAACTCTTCCCCCCTGACATAACCCACACAAAAAGGTACAAAAGGCAATCGCTGCGCGATTCTCGCTTTCGCCCACAGCGTAGGGCGGCACGGGGCATGCACACCAGCACGCGACGGCGGCTGGTCTGCACGCAGCCTGCCCCAAGAACCTTGTGGAGCTAGTAGCTGCTCTGAGGCCGCAACGGAAGATTGGAAGCGCTACTGGCGACACGACATGCACGTAACATGGCATCAGCAGACGACGCAAATAACCGCGACATCCGAAAGCGACCACTTTTTCCCGCCGCGGGGAATCAGCGGCGGCCGCTGAACGGGGAATCGCACGGGCTCGGATATCGCTGTGCTCAAGGAAGGTACTTTGACCTGGCGAGCTTACAGGCGTGTGTGTCGGCATGGTCGAGACACTATCCTCAGCACAGCGGTGAATGCGCCTGCTTAGTCTCGAGTCGCTACTACTTGCGGTCGCCGGTCGTTGGGTCTGGAGGATTTCTTGTTTAGGTGCAGTCTTGTGCATTGGGGCGCGCACACACGCAAACGTTCCAGTTCGATTTTCCGCTCTTGGGTTTCAGGGTGGGGGGCTTGTTGAGACTGACGTCTTTGGCTTGCGAACAGACGAAAACAGACGACACGAGACACCTTCACAAACGGGACCCAATAATGGCTTGAATAATCAACCACAGTACATACCGTGACATTGGGGTTCAACCTTGAAAAATCTTCGTCTGGAGCACGGTGCTGTGGCAGATTGACAAAAAGTGTGGAGAGTTTCGTGTTCTTGTACTTTCGTTGCGGAAGTTAGTCCTTGCAATGTGACCGTCTAACCTCCCTATTGAACACGACCTTTTCGCGTCCGTGCTTTGACAAGGGAAGCGGTGATTTCTCATTCTAGGTTGAAATCATTTTTCGCTTAGGTTTTGAAATTCCAGGTTCGATTTGTCTCTCAGCTTTCTTGGTCATGTTTGACGCTGCGGACCGCCGTGCGTACTATCGTGTCACACACCTGGCAGCAGGCAGCGCGGCACACCATCTCGCAGCGCCGGTCCCCATGCGGACACCTCGTGTAAGCTCACTCCTTATCGCCCTTATCGCAACCCTTCCACGGTGCGGCATGCCCATGCAGCCGCAAAACTCGTCAGTGTGATGCATTCTCCCGTATGCGGATTCGCCACACTTCTAATACTACAACTAGCGTAGTAGCACGGGCGGTCTGCCGCAGTGAACGCCCTCCAGCGAGCGGCAGCGAGGTGCCGCTGTCTGCCAGGTACATGTGTCCGACGCCGAGTCTTCAAACCGCAGACAACCAGTTACCATTGTCATACCTGGGCACACGTTGATTCATACTCCCTCGATTCTGTTTCTACTCAGGGTGAAAACCAGTTAGATCGTTCCTAACCATGGTTCTATGCAGTGTGTATGGAGAGTTCGAATGTAACGCCTGTGGGCTGTGTGTAGGGCATTCCTCCGCGCCAAATGACACCCTCGTTTTGACCCGTGGGTAGGGAGGTGTTACATTTCGTCTCAGCCTGGGGTTTGATTCCAGGCTGGGTCACATTTTTCGCTAAGAGAGCGAGAAGTTGAATGTGGTAACCCAGTTGCGAACCCAGTGAACGATCCGCCGCTGGGCACAGCGAAGTTGAGGTCCTTGCGAGGGCCGACTCCCTGCCCAACGATGACGTTGGCTCCAGGGGGGACGAGTGTAACGCCTGTGGGCTGTGTTAAGGGCATTCCGCTGCGCCAAAGGGGTAGCGAGGTGTTACATCAAAGCGGTCCATTAGAGGATGGACACGTTTGTACAGAAGATGTAACAACTTTGTTGTGCATGAATGCTTAACAAGCACCTTGATTCCATGCTTTCCCTAACCAGTGGCATGCGCTGTCATCACTCCTTGCCACGCTTGTTTGAGCAGGAGGCGCACCAGGGGTTGGAGTTGCTCCTGCTGCTTCTTGGCAGCCTGGCGTGCCTTCTGCCCCCTAGGAGTGTATTGGCAGTGCGAGTGCATCCCACAGATGGTGGGCTGGGCTCAGTGTGCACTCTCGGGTTGTGAGGCAGTAGGTTGTCGCAACTCAGAAGGAGGTGTTTGTTTTTTCTATTTCACCACACCCCTTGCCCGCACTTGTGTCTACACACAGGCTTGAGTCTCACAGTTTACACGAAAACAACACTTGCTTTTCTCAAGTTCAGCACAACTCTTTATGCACCCATCCGTGTCTACTACGCGCAGCCTGGAGTCTCAGACTGCTGGCCAGCGAGTGGGGCAACTTCAGCGGCAGCGAGAATTGGGGGCGGCGCAATGTGGACTGCAAGATAATGGAGGGCATCAGATGCGATAAGGATGGATTCGTCACTGCCATGTGAGTGAGTGGGTGCGTGGGACTCTGAGACACACAGGGCACTAGATCCTGGCACCTTGACCAAGGAATGTGGATGTCACAGGTTTATGCAACCTTTGTCTCACAGGCGGAGTGTGCCTGCAGCTGTGGCCGTGTGGCATGTGGTGTGGTAACCGTGGCTCTGCAAAGCACCCTCATATCTGCTCTTTGAGTCGACTCAAAAGCACCTTCATATCTGCCCTGCCGGTTATGTATGCTTCAAGATTGTCACTCTGTCCGAAGGCCCCTCATATGGGAGCTTGTGCGAAACTTCTTGCTATACAGGCCAGTATTCCACACGTGGCTACCTTTCATGCCTTGTTAATGATGCATTGTCACACCATCCATATGCATTGTGTACCATGTTGACGGCCTAACGGTTTCTCATATTCATTCTACTGTTACTTCTCTGGCCAATCAATGCTTCCAACCTGAATTTGTGCTGTAGATATGTGGGTCTTGAGACGCTTGGAGGTCCAATCCCCGCCATAATCAGCAGTTTTCAACGTCTCACAGACTTGTGAGTTCTCCTCCTCTTGCAACCACTTGGAATGGTATAGCAACATGCAAAATAGCGGAGGGTGTGCAAGGTTGAGGGGGGGGAAGAGGAGGGGGGGGGGGGAGGGAAGGAGGGGGAAGGTGGGTCAGGAGAGGAGGGGTGTGCGTGGGAGGGGGGGGAGGGGGTGGAGGGGCGAGTGAATTTCTGGCTGCATATTGCGTGCGTGGGCGTTTTTTCACATGGAACATTGAAGAAATGCTGAGAGGGACCAGTGGATTGACGTACAAGTGGATTGGCGGAAAGAGGCAATAATAAAAAAAGGGTCTCTGAATAGTATTCCTGGTCCATTGGTACCCCATCATAGAAGCTTAGGCGTTTTGTGCTGTACCATCTGATCCGAACTGTAGCTCGCCTCAGGCACACTTTGTTGGGCCAACCACACGGCCACACTGTCGTCGGGTCAACTCAATCACCAATTTATTTGCAGGCCTAAATTAAACTGATTCTGGCTGGGCCAGACTTTCGACACTAGCCATCGGAGGTTCAAACTAATGTCAGTTTGAGTTTGACCCAGACGTTTCTCACTCACTCTTTTCTGATAGTCTGTTGTTACCTTCTTTCCTTTTCCCTTGTATCAACCAAATAGCATCACGCACAAAAACAGCATACCATAAGCATCAAAGCCAGGTTAAAAATGAGAGGACCACATACATAAGGCAACCTAACAACTTCAGTGCTAACCTCCCACATGGGCCAGTCGAATCTGACCTGTCGAGGCCATCTCTGCGACTCTGGCTAGGTCCAGTTGGTCGAGATGCTGTTGTTTACTATGGTTGTGTCACAAACATCTCTTGTGCTCTTTTTCTTTCTAGGGTACTTATTTTCTGCCAACTCACGGGTACCATCCCCGATTCCCTGTTCAACTTACCACATCTCATGAGCCTGTATGTAAGCCTTCCCTTTAGTCACTTAAGAATGAGCGATGCATTTGTGATTGAGATGTGCACTTGTTGAGATTTTCATACGATACAAGTATCATGCTCCTTGTTGTAATCGTCTTTCTTCTCCTTTTTGCTGCATCTGATGTCCTTCCTTACTTGCCAAATGCGTTCACCGTTCACGCAATCTCATCGACCAGCCATTTACCTGGTAATTTACTCACTGGGACGCTTCCAGAAGGCTTCAGCCGATTGACCAACTTACGAAACCTGTGAGTAGAAGATCGCAAAGGTTTTGGTGCTTGCGAAATAACAGTGGGAGGGAGTGTTTATATCTACATTTATGTTTTTTACAAAGTCGAGGAACCAAGCGAGCCTCAAAGGCCTGAATGGGAGACGAGGAAATGCTTGCCTAGATGCATACTATCAAAGTAAGGGTGCGGCATGTTCACTGTTAGTCTAGCCTGTATACGGACTGGTCACTGGAGGTGAATCATGCTTGCACTGTCATCATGGCCAAGCCAGGCACATGGCTCTGCACGAGCATGGGCCAGACTTGAGCAGAGCCATCTTCCTGTTTGTCCTAGCTCGAGGACTGGCCAACTAGGTCAAGCCTGAGTGGAATTGAACCACGCATGGCTTGGTTCAGCTCGAACCAACCGGCTGAGAATAACATGGCATCTGCTTAAATGCTGCAAACAGTTTTTTTTTCTCGTAAAAACAAAAGGTCCACTGTGGGGGATATAGCAAGTGCACAAGCTGTTTTTTTTTACAAGCTGGCATAAGGAGGGCCAGCCCTTGTTCGAAGTGAACCTCTTGTAGGGTGCATGACCTGCAATCAGCATGAACACAGTTCAAACCGTTCCAGGTTCGACTTGAAACAGAGTCGCACTGATGCAAGCCAATCCAAGCTGTTTCATTGCTCTCA